TTTTTAGACATCGTTCTGTCATCGGTAGCAAAGAAAATATTTTCAACATTCTCATCAGATGCTACACTAGCTTCAGCGGATTCAATAGTTTTCTCAACAAATTTTTCCTTTTGCTTTAATTTATTTTTCAATTTAAAGCAATCAGATTTAATGTGCCCCATTTTATGATAATATCTGCATTCCAAATTTCTATGTCTGGATTTAGATCTAGATTTAGATCTACTACTGTCAAATTCTCTTTTATCCATTCTCCCCCTAACAACCAGACCATCGGCCTGATTCTCTCTACTTTCCCCAGCGATATTCTTGTCTATCTGCTCCTTAGATTTCAATGCAGATTTAATTTCTTGATACAAAACTGTTTCTTTTCCATAAATCAAAGTATCACGGAAATGCTTAAAAGATTGGGGAAGAGAACACAAGAGTAACAAAGCCTTATCCTCATCATCAATTTTTGCATCTATATTCTCCAAATCCATAACCAAAGAATCAAACTTATCAAGATGCGAGAGTATAGATGTACCTTCAATCATCCGAAGCATATACAGTCTCTGCTTCAACTAGAGACGATTCTCCACTGTCCTCTTCATGTACAAGGCTTTAAGCTTGTCCCACATGTTCTTAGCCGTAGTCTCCGTAGCTACCTCCCGTAAAACCTCATCAGAGAGATTTAGAATGATGCTGGATCGGGCTTTCTTATCCATACCCGCAAGATCTTCCTTTGACGTACCATCTGGAATGTTCTCAGCACCCTGAAGTGCCAAATCAACTCCGTCTTGAACCAGAATGGCCTCCATCTTGAGTTGCCACATGCCGAAGTTGACATTTCTGTCGAATTTCTCGACAACAATCTTTGTTATTGTCATCGTTGCCAAAAGATCCCAGAACCAGGCTCTGATACCAGTTTGTTAGAGCTAGCCCTAGGAAATTTACCAAAGGATAATTTTTGCAACACAACAAAGACAATAAAGCGGAAAGAATAAAAGCGACAAGAACAAACAAAACACCAGAACACCAGATATACGTGGTTCGGTCAATTGACTTTGACCTACATCCACGGAAGAAAGAGGAACAAATTACTATTATAAAAGAGGGACACTTACAAATGCCTTAGGAAGATGTTCCTAGGCCATAAAACACCTTCAGCTTACTAAACAAGAAAAACCCAAACCGTAAGCAGGTTTTCTTGTGGTGCCTCTTGTGCTGCCTGTGGTACCTCTTGTGGTGCCTGTGGTACCTCTTGTGGTGCCTGTGGTACATCTGACTTCAAAGCCCAGGCCCTTATTTTTAGTTCCAAGACAAGACAATAAGTCTAATTTTCCCGATGTGGGACTATGGGACTTGCCAAACTAACACATATGATCTCTTAAATTGAAGAGCTTGTAGTCTATCTGTCTATGTTGACAGTTTGACCAGCCTTATGAAGCTGTTAGGTGCTAAAACTGCCAATTGCCTTTAGCTCTAAACTCTGCTCTCTGTGATAGGTGATGAAAATATTAAATACTGGAAACTCATTTTAATGTAGATCAACATGTAGAAAATAAAATAAAAAATTGTTAATCTCGATATACATTGCTAACTTGGGAAGATATCTATTTTAGATGCTTCTGAAGACTGTATTTGACACACCTTTTCATCTGTCTTAACCAGTAGACTGATGATTATATCAGCTTTTTGGAAAACTTTGTTAACTTTGTTAACTTTGTTAACATTTTCGAACTAGATATATCTGGTATGTGTTCATCAATTCTCTTATCTCCCATGCTTACCGCTAACAATTTGGACAGGAATTTGAGTTCCAATTCCTTGGAAGGAAGTCTGCCATCAGGCCTGGGTCAAGCATCACTTGTGAGCTTGTGAGTTGTTTTTTGATATTCATGTTCCAGTCACAGATTTGCCTTTTTTCCCCAAATGGCATAGTGAACTACTTCTTGTTATATGCTTCTAACACATTTTTAATTGGTTTTAAAAATTATTGCATTTAATTTTTATGACAATTATATTTTGAGCACTATAATATATATTTTTTGCAGCATATCTGTCTTTTTTTGTCTCGAGTCCATGCAATGGAGACCAAATTGATGGAATGCACCTAAACTGCATATTAATAAATTCTTGTATGGTCTCCGGTTCTTGATTCATTGCACAAGTCAGTTGATGTCAATTCTGCATAACCTGAACTGAAATAGAAAATAAAAGAACTGTAAAAGACACTTCGTGCCATTTGGTTCTATAGGTGATAGATTAATGGATTATATACTCTCCTTTCCCCAATTTATAGTTATAATTTTTCTGATAAAAATGAGGTTATGACATCATAAATTGAATTTTACATGCCAAAGTTACTGGGCGACCATATGAGGCATGAGAAGAATGTAATGCCTTCCTCAGAAGGTTTTATGGCTTTAATATCTTTATGTCATCAATCTGAGTAGTTATGACATCATAGTCAAAGTAAATTTATAATTCTACCTTGAGATGTTTGTATGGCAGATTTATCACTTTGTTCTGTGACTTCAGTAATGTTTCTTTTTCTAATCAGGGATCTGTCATCAAATCAGCTTACTGGTAGTATTCCAGATTGCTTGGGATCCTCAAACTTGAAAGTCGTGTAAGTTGATAGAAATGCTCTTGAAGTGGCTTTTTGTTTTACATTATTGATCTTTAGTAGTCACAATCAATATTTTAATTCTTGTGATCAGCTCTCTTCTATCGATACAATCCATAAAATCTTACAGTTGCCATACATTATCCCTTAATCCATGTCTCAAAAATAATCAGAGAAAAATACTAACTCATAAAAAATACATAAGCTATTCTAGGAAGATATGTTCCATGAGGTAGATTAACAATATCATTCAATTATTACTCTTCCTTTGTATTGCCATGCTTGTGTCCAAATTTTCACTAGAAATTGGCTGTTATGGAGGCACACCAATCACTTCCAAAGGATGGAGGCATACCAGCCAAACATATTCCATGTCCATTGGAGTGTTCTGTAAACTGTGGGCTAGTATATGTCGATGAAGTTATTGCATATGTAGATTGAAGCACTTGCATGCATTAATCTTACTAACCATATGACTTACGGAATCATAGAACAAGAGGTGGTCAATGCTGTTTCTAGTCCATAATGCTTAAAATATCAAGGACTATCTTAATTGGAGGCTCTAAGAGTAATTGATCACATGAACATTAGAGGCAGCTACCGAGAGTAGGCTATGCTTTGCTCTTGCAATTTTATACTGGTAACGGAATTCTCTTTTGGGAACCAGATAGAACTGGGGACATTTTTGCTGCTTTCAATGCCCTGTTTTATTTCATGAACATATTCTGATATGAATTTTCAAGTGAATACTTACCAGAATCTGGTTTCACAAATGAATCACATGTTCACAGAAGGTAAAAGTTCAATTGGAGTCATCTCAAGTTTGTTACAGATTATATTACTGAAACACACTATGCATGATTGATAAAATACATATTTATATATCGGGATAGGTTGACTTTAAAAATAGGCAGATAGCAAGCGATGTCCTGCCGGAGCATCATCATGAAGCTCCATTTTTGAACTTCTTGTATTTGGTTTTTTACATGACTCTTTGTTAACAATTTGGTCAATAATTTTCTTTTATTGAGACAAAAGCATAGGCAACCATTGGAGGAACTTCTACTTATTCATAGCTTAGCATCTGTATTGTTTCTCTAAAACGCCATCCAAATTTATCAAGAAAATGGGCAGAAGATAAAAATATGAATCCTTGCAAAAGAGTGAGTGTTGAATTTCCATTTTGTTTGGTTCTAACTTATTTTAACTTGTAATTTTTCATGCAGATTATTAAACAACAATCAGTTGGATGGACAAGTTCCTGAGAAACTTTATTCAATTGGTGTACATGGTGGAATCATAGAGTAAGCTATCCGTGAATTTTCCTCCCTTTCCTGACGTTGCTCTTATAACGATCTTCCTTTCTTGTAGAATTATTCATGTTTGTTCTTATTTCAAAATTTTCTGATAAGATCTCGGTGGCATTTGGTTTTGAAAAGCTATTCTCCAACTTTCTGCAGTTTTTCTAGTCTACATAGTAGTTAAACACAAGACACATGCACACACAAATTATTTTGGTGATGGAATTTTTTCATACTAATATTTTTGGTCGACATGTATAGACACGAGCATCGCGGGCTCTCTTTACATTTGAGAGAGATGAGAATATTATAAAAGTTGGTAACTTTAATACAATTCTGGTGACTACTAAATGATCAACTAGCCTAATACTCTGGAAGTGGCAGGATTATCATGGGAGCTTCAGAACAATGCTTATGACCATCTTTTCTTTCCTTTTTTATGCAAGAAATAACTAAATGCACAGGATGGATTTTGTAGTTATATATACATACAAATTTTTGAGATGATACATATATTACTTTGAACATTGATAGATCAGTCTTTTTACTCTATGACCTACAAAAGTTAATGGTAGTGTATCATTTAGATTGATAGAGCTATCAAGTAGCCACAAGGCCTCAATTTACTGGATATTTATTTTATATTTTACATTATTTCTAAATGGGAAAAATCACTTTTGAGAGTTGAATGAAAAAAAAAACAGAAAGCGAGTAGAAAAGCAAAATAATTTGAGAAAATACGAGGATGAACTGAGAAGGAAGTAAAGAGGCTGTGACATCTTTTACAAATCCTTTTTTGTTACAGGGTCCAAATTTCAAAATACTTAAGATAATTGTTTTCTTCCTTTATGAATTAGTGCACAGAGATGGACCTATGAGCATTCTATATCCAGAAATAGGATACTCTGAATGATACAATTTTTTTACTTCCTTATAGGTTAATAATTTTGCATTTATTTTTGTTGTGTGGGAAATAATTGCATTTTTCTTATTCAGTCTCTCAGGTAATAAAGGGCTTTGTGGTGTACCCACTTTGCCTGCTTGCCCTTTGTTTTGGGACAAACAAGGTCTTTCTGCAGCTGGCAAGATTGCAATTGGTTTATCATGTGCCTTTATTCTCATCATGCTACTCCTACTTTACTTATTCTGCATAAGAAGGCAAAGCGATGATTATGATTTTGAGTTTCCTCAAGATTTAGTATGTGAGTACGATAACTTGCTACAAGGTTCTTAGTTTTCCAACCTTTTCTCATTACATCCTTCTAGCTTAACAAAATTACTACTCCATAAATAAGAAGTGAGATTTTGTTAATTGAGAAACAAGATCAAAATAAAAGTTGACTATAAGATACCTCGTATTATGATTTATGCTCAACATACTTTAGTGCATTCTGGTACCGTAACTTTGCTTATTATGTTTCTTCTGTTGTGCCACACTGATACCTGTAAAATCTATTATTACTTCATTACGACATATATTCTTTTCCAGTGGACTTTGAGCTGAACAATAAGGTGATCAGATAGACATCAACATAATAATAGAGAAGAGCTGGGGAGCAGTACTGATTGGGATCTAATATATATATGCTTGATTTACCTTCCGACTTAAATATTAGTCTAGTCTCCAATATAGAGGATTTAACTCCATATCAGACTACTTTTGAGTCTCCTTCCTAGTCTACTAGTGTTCTTGACAATCCTCCCAAAGTGCAACTGGAATGTGGACCACAACTGGAATAGATCACTACTAAATGAGCTCCATCCACTTATGTTAACCTGGTTATTGAGGTAGATCATGTTAGCTCATATGACACTGTTAGCAGTGAAATAGAGTAACTGAAGATGTTTTGAGTGACCAAATCCATTCTAGGATAATGCATTTTTTGATTAGTTTGGTTTCATATATCTTAATTCTTAAAGGTTCAAATTCTAGGGGCCATGCACTTATTTGTCAACTCAACATCAGTGTTCTAGTAAATATGTACTTTGGGGAATGATTATGTCTCTTTGCAGTCTAAAAGATACGGATTGGGATTTTGCGTCTGATTCATTTTTTAACCTTCATCAAGTTGCTTTTTAAGTGTACGTTGGTTAAAAAATAGCCATAATTGGAACTCTAATGTCTCCCAGTTGAAAATTTAGCATGCTGCCTAACCAAGAAGACTTTATTCACCTTATGAGTAGTGTTTTTTCGTTGCCATCATGTGGTGATTGAGTATTTGGCTATAAACTTGATTGATTAAACCTTCTACAGGCATTTTTTCTTGTTTACTTCTGAATCTCTCAAATAAACTGTACATTTTATGTACACTATGCTTCCACTTACTACATTTTCCTTTCTCCTTGTCTCAGCAATTGCAGCAAAAAGAAATAGGTACCAAAGGCAGAAGGTGATGCTTGTTGAGATGGAAGCACCAAATTCTAATGGTTTTCCAAGCACCTCGGCTACACATTAGCGGTCTTATGATTAAAAAGAAGATATTCTTTGATTTGGAAGGGTTATCATATGGCTTTATTGTAGTCTAAACGTATGACTTGGTAGCAGCAAACGTGGAGTTGATTAGCTTAAGGTGTGGGGTGTGTGATGTTAGGGGTGAAGTGTGTACATAAATAGAGTATAATCTATGACCATGGAATCAGCCAAATTTTGTTAATTCCCAATATGAATTTATGTATAATATATACATCCTCCAGATGTATGCAAGCGGCAATTAAATTGCTGTTGGATTGAGAAATATTGTATTATTACACAGGTAGATGATATGATGCTCGGGAAACATGAGATTTTTTGCTTGTCGTGATGAATAATATTTTTTATTGTAACTTAATGTTAACCCCTTTTTTCATTGGTTAATGATGTTTTATTAGTTACGATTGGTCCCAGATATATATATATATATATATATATATATATATATAAAATCAATCAGATTATAATATATATAATAATATATTATTCTAATACATATAATAATAATATAATCAACCAGTGGTCCCCAATTCTGAGCTTGACCTAATCAATCTGATCATAATATTATAATAATAAGTATAAATTGAATAAAATTTAATATTTTATATATGACTTCACGAGTGTAAGTGAAAGATTTTTTTCGAGAATATTCCATAATTTTGGAGGAAAATGATGTCATTTGTTAAGTGTTCAAGGGTACACGTGTAAATTACCTTAGCTTCATAAAAATGTAAATACGACGGGAATTGCACGTGGGTATGCCTATATCATATAGTTTGTATTAAGAATGAGGGTATTGAGGTCATTGCATGTGTCTCCAAACCCTAGCTCTCCTTGGCCTTATTACTAATAATTTTCCCGTCTTCTTTTCTTCTCTTCCAAGAGCAATTCCTTCGCCGCCGTTCTCCGCCGCAGCCGCCGGTCAAGATGAAGTACAACCCGCGCGTGTCGAGTTCCCGGAGGAAGTCCCGGAAGGCGCACTTCACTGCCCCGTCGAGCGTCCGGCGGGTGCTGATGAGCGCTCCGCTCTCAGCGGACCTCCGCAACAAGTACAATGTGCGGTCGGTTCCCGTGCGCAAGGACGACGAGGTGCAGGTGGTGCGGGGCACCTTCAAGGGCCGCGAGGGCAAGGTCGTGCAGGTATACCGCCGGAAGTGGGTCATCCACGTCGAGCGCATCACCCGCGAGAAGGTGAATGGCGCCACCGTCAACGTCGGCATCAACCCCTCCAAGGTCGTCATAACGAAGCTAAAGCTGGACAAGGACCGCAAGGCCCTCCTCGACCGCAAAGCCCGCGGCCGGGCCGCCGACAAGGCCAAAGGCAAGTTCTCGGCCGAGGAGGTCGCCGCCGCCGTTGCCGGTGCGCCCTCTCTCCAGGAGATCGATTGATCTCATCAATCCCTCCAACGATTAGCCCGATCGGTCCGTCCTTCATCACCTACCGACCATAGTTATGTCGTCATCTTGCACTACTACCTTTGCTTTTTCGATATCTAAGAGATGTTTTTGATTTCGAACTGTGCGTTGTTTCTGGTAGATGATGGTTCAAGTAAAGTCTACTATTCTTATGACTAGATCTAATTCGAACCTACATCAATGGATTTGATGCGAACATTCTCTTTTAGATTCATTGCATGTGTTCTTGAATCTTGACTCTTTCCAGGCTGATGATGGGTATGCTGTTAGTCCTCATTTGCGTACTGATTACTGTATGTGATTTCCCTTCTGTTATGTTGTTCGTCTCTTCTATTCTTCTTGATACTTATTATTTTAATCCGTACGCCATCTTTTAATAGGCTGTTCATTTCTTACGTTCGTGATTTCCATTATCGTAGAATCATGGATATTCTTGTGTTCTTGATTTCTCTTATTCTATAATTATGAAAGCTCGTGATTCCATCTTTTAATATGTTGTTCTTTGATTCTGTTTAGGGTTGCTAGTTTCTAATTGAGGCCGATTGATGTTGCAGATAGTGTTTCTTGAAGTATAGGATAGTGCTTTGAACCAAGAAATTGAAGTTAGTATCTATTAATCAGAGCTCTATCACTGCTGGACTCTGATGTTTAGTTTTAGCTTTATTTTCAGCTGAGTCATCATGGGAGATCCAATTGATTAAATTTTGATGCTGTGGTTTTCAGAAATTATTGATCCTATCTTATAATATGTCGTCCGTGTATTCTTAGGTTCTTGATTTCTACTATTTTATAATTATGGAAATTCCTGATTCCATCTTTTAGAATGCTGTGTGTTATCTTGTATTAACATATGTTATCATAGAATCATAGATATTCTTGATCCTACATTAGGGTTGCTTGTTTCTGATTGAGACCAATTGATGATGCAGATAGTCTTTCTTGAAATCTAGAGCACGTCAGAATAGTGCTTTGGAACAAGAAATATTGTAGGTAGTATCTATTGATTAGACCTTTATCCCATCAAAATCCGATGCTTAATTGTAGTTTTATTTTCAGATAGGTCATCATGGGAGATCCAATTGGTTAGGATTTGATGTTGTGGTTTTTAGAAATTTTCGGTCCTATCTTATGTTATGTTGACAGTATCTTCTTATTTTCTTGATTTCCATTATATTATAATTATGGAAATTTCTGATTCCATATTTGAAATGCTGTCCATTTATGTTCTTAATTTATATTATATAAAATTATGGATATTCTTGATTTTTAAATTAGGGTTGCTAGTTTCTAACTGAAACCAATTGAAAATGCAGATAGTCTTTCTAGAAATCTAGAGCTTGTTAGTATAGTTTATTGAACCAAGAGATGGTGAAGTTAGTATCTATGGATTAGAGCTCTATCCTTTTAGATTCTGATGTCTATTTGTAGCTTTATTTTCAGACAAATCATCATGGTAGATCCAATTGGATACAATTTGATGTTGTGGTTTTTAGAATTCTTGATTCCATCTCATAATATGTTGACGATGTTTTCTCAGGCGCTTGATTTCTATTATTTCATTATTATGAAAATTCCTGATTCCATAGTTGTTTCTTTGTTCTTGATACATATTATTATAAAATAATGGATATTCTTGATTCTACATTAGGGTCTACAGTTTCCGATTGAAACCAATTGATGTTAGAGATAGTCTTTCTTGAAATCTAGAACTCCTTGGAATAGTTATTTGAACCAATAAATATTGAAGGCAGTATCTATCGTTTGAGCTCTTCCTTTGAAGTCTGATGAATAGTTGTAGCTCTATTATTAGAGTAGTCATCATGGGGAGTTCTAGCGCGTTAAAGTTTCATGTCCTAGGGTTTTTTATTTTGATAATTATATAATCATTGAAGTTCTTGATTCTTCCTTAGGGTTGTCAGTTTCTGATTGAAACTAATGGATGGTGCACACAGTCAATAGTGAAATCTAGTGGCTGCTGGAGTAGTGCTCTGAACCAAGGAAATTTTGAAGCTAGCATATATCAGTTAGAGAGCTCCATTCCTCCAAAATTTTGATGTTTAGTTGTGGGGCTTTATATATTCAGATTGATGCTATGGTTTTTTGCCCGTGGGTCATAACAAGGGGAGACTGGGTGGTACACAATTTCTAAATTTTGTGTTTTCAGATTGTTTTGAAATAAGAGGAAATATATGTCTTAAAGGGGAAGGTTGTGGAATTGAAGTATGACTTGATCCGAATCCGAGTTTGACGCTCCATATATGCATATCGTTCCGAAGTGTGTTTGGATTACAGTCATTATTAGAACACGAGAGGGAGCGTGATATTTGGAGTTTTGCTTTATCAACTGAACCATGTTTCACAAATGGATATTAGCTTTGAGTTCACTTCAGATCCATATACATATATGCTTTACAGGTTGCATCACAAGGTTATTAAGATTTATGAATCAATAGACTTCAATAAAATTGATTATTTAAAAAATAATTCTTATTTATATTAATTTTGAATTAGTATTAAGATGAGAAAGAAGACGATCATTTTTGTTCATTTGCTGCTTTCAACGGCATCTATTCCTTCGGTCAGATCTGCCGTCCAGCTCCTTTCATCTCCAGCCACCATCGTTCGTTATCTTTGTTACTCGGGTCATCTTATCAACGACATTCGAATTTCATTTTATCAACAGTGTCATCTTCATTTCATTACCGTGAGCCCAATTCCATTCGGCGGGCCTGTCTGACTCCGTTGGCTTTTAGGCGTCACAATTTCCAACCAAGAATACAGGGGAAACTTGTAATGGTTATTATTAAATATCTTATTTAATAATAACGTAACAGTTTTTATTAAGATTCATAATTCATTATCATGAATTTTTTCATTTATTATGGTTTAAATGATTTCAGTTTCTTATTCTTTATGCATGAAACCGTTATTATTAAATGAAATATTTAATATCATTAAGTTCTTCATTATGGTCCAAACGTTACAAATTTGAATTAATTATTGAACGTTATGAGTTGGTGATGATAAATGTTCTTGATGGGAGAACATCTATATATACATGAGGATTTTGGTCCCTTGGCTTAATCATCTCTTTGAAGCGAAAGGCTTTCCTACACCATCTAAAGTGAGAGTTCTGAGCCGAGAAGAACCAAAGTTCAAGAAGAAACCTCTGCAGAAATTCTTGGCGACAATGGCTGGAGGTACGCTATTTCGTTTCCGCATTAGTTTTATTATGTTTCTATTACAATGATTTAGAAACACAAGTTGACTTCATTAAAATTTCTTACATTTGGTATCAGAGCCGAATGACCTCTGCCTTGATATGAAAAAGTTTTCATTTTTATGCCATGAAAATGATTTGATTTTGGTTTCTTCTTGGAAACTTGTTGATATATTTTGTTGAAAATCATGAGGAAATATCATTTTCAACATTTTTAATCGGTAAAATGCTCATATTATGTATGCATATTTAGTTATATTAATTATGTTTATGAGCAAATTTTTTATGTTTAAAATGTCTAGTGATCCATATAATCTTAATTAATTAAGAATTAGTCATAGCATCCTTAATTAATTAAAATTATATATAAAGTTAAAATAAGGATCACATAAGTAATTAGACATCATATTGTAATTGATTATATTTCGTATAATAATTGTTATCCCACAGGATCTTTTATTATATTTAATATAATTAATCAGGATAAAATATCAGATTATTTTCATAATTTACCCACAGGGATTATGAATTGAAATATAATTTGATAGTTTTATCATAAAGACCATATGAATCT